GAGATGGGGTAAATATAGCATGAATTTGTGTGGTGATATAGCCTTATATTTGAACTAAGGCTGAATTTATGTGTGAAAAACAGGCAGTTTACAATGGACTTGTGCCAAGTTTCTGAATCAACTTGATAGCAGTGTGGAAGGGTGCTGATAGAGTTTGCAAGAAATGCACTCAGCATTCAAACTTACTGTGATCAAACTGTGTTATTTGTGTGCAAGCCAACCGTCCTTAGATTGTATCACTGTTTGTTTGGAACAAACAATGTTTTGCACCTGCAGAGGTTATGGAAGTCAGCCTAGTAGTTGTCCATGTAGCTGCTTCTGCAGTCTTTCATACACTGCATGATCACGAGGGGGTGTGCTATGACTGTTGTAGATGTTGCCGGCAATAAGAGGAGGACCTCATCATGGTGCAGGATGAGAGTAATGTGGTTGCCTGTGGAGCATTAGGTCTCTCCCAGAAAATTATGTGCAGTTCCCATGGTGAAGGTGGTCGCGGCAGTAGACGGGGAAAGCCAGAGAAAAGCAGTATGAGAATACATTTGCACAGGTGATTTTTTTCCTTAATACTATTGAACTTATGTAAATAGCTTGAACACAAGCAAAAAGTTTGTCAAATGTTTGGTGCTGATCACAACTCATGGACAGGTTGTAAACTGAGCCTGTGGTTGATTGAAAACCGCAGTTTCAGCAGTCTTGCACTTCACTATAGATGAGAGACCTTGGTTTACAAAAACCATTTAACAGTGCAATCCTAAGCATAAGAACATAAGAGAAGCCAATGTTGGATCAGGCCAATGACCCATCCAGTCCAACACTCTGTCACACCGTGGCCAAAAATACCAGGTGCCATCAGGAGGTCCATCAGTGAGGCCAGGACACTAGAAGCCCTTCCACTGTTGCCCCCCCCTGGCACCAAGAATACAGAGCATCACTTGCCCCAGACCAAGAGTTCCTATCTATAGTAAAGGTAAAGGTTTCCCTTGCTCGAAAGCCAGTCAAATCTGACTCTAGGGGGTGGGACTCATCTCTGTTTCCAAGCCGAAGAGCCAGCGTTGTCCAAAGACGTTTCCGTGGTCATGTGGCCAGCATGACTAAAAGCTGAGGTGCACAGAACGCTGTTACCTTCCCATTGAAGTGTTACCTATTTATCTACTTGCAATTTCTTGCTTTTGAACTTCTAGGTTGGCAGGAGCTGGGGCCAGAGACAGGAGCTCACTCTGTCATGCGGCACTAGGGTCATGAACTGCCGCCCTACAGACCTTCTGGTCTGCAGCTCAGCATCTTAACCTCTGAGCCACCACGGCACCTATACTTGGTGGCTAATAGCCACTGATGGACCTCTGCTCCATATGTTTATCCAGTTCCCACTTGAAGCCCTCCATGTTTGTAGCCACTGCCACCTCCTGTGGTAGTGTATTCCATGTGTTAATCACTCTTTGGGTGAAGAAGTACTTCTTTTTATCCATTCTAACCCAACTGCTCAGCAATTTCATTGAGTGCCTACGAGTTCTTGTATGGTGAGAAAGGGAGAAAAGTACTTCTTTATCTGCTCTATCCCATACATAATCTCATAAACCTCTATCGTGTCACCCCTCAGTCATTGTTTCTCCAAGCTAAAGAGCTCCAAGTGCTTTAACCTTTCTTCATAGTGAAAGTGTTCCAACCCTTTGATCATTCTTGTTGCCCTTTTCTGCACTTTTCCCAGTGCTATAATATCCTTTCTGTGGTGTGGTGACCAGAACTGCACATAGTATTCCAAATTATAACCTTTGAAGCCAGTTTATTTCAAGAAATGTAGAAAAGCATACCTCTGTTTAGGATTGCGGTGTCCAGTTCTTAGTGTGTTAATGAGGGGCCACAAGAAGTATATTGTACTTGTATTTAGTATTCAGTTATAAAAATGATGATTTAATGTAATGGCTCATGCTTTCATTTCAGACTGGTGAGCTAATTTGGTGTAGTGGTTAAGTGCGCGGACTCTAATCTGGGAGAACTGGGTTTGATTCCCCACTCCTCCACTTGCAGCTGCTGGGTGACCTTGGGCAAGCCATAGTTCTGGCACAGCTGTTCTTGAAAAAGAGCAGTTTCTCTCAGAGCTCTCTAAGCCCCACCTACCTCACAGGGTGTCTGTTGTGGGGAGGGGAAGGGAAAGGAGTTTGTAAGGCGCTCTGAGACTCCCTTGGGTAGTGAAGGGTGGGGTATAAATCCAATCTCCTCCTCCTCTTCCTCATCCTCCTCCTCTTCATTAGGCCTCATAATGTTAAAGAAGCAAAGGAGACTTACATTTATTGATCCATAACTGGAAAAAAGTCTGTCTAAAATGTATGCATTTATGATAAGGATGAAACTTGTTTGTTATCCTAGAGAGGGTGAAATATTTGTATTTGTCTTTTCTGTTGAAGATTATCTACTGTAATTAATGTGCTTTTAGATCACAGCAACATTTCTCTTTGCTTCAATATTTGTTCAGATGTCAGTGTCTATGTATTTCTAAGATACACCACTCACTGCTTTGGCAGACCAGTGAAGTGACAAAAGGGAGATCATTTGTGGACCTGGGACCATCACTTTGCTGCTAGCTGGAATAACAGGTCATGTCATCTTGAACATATGCATTTTTAGGAATACATCATGTAGAGTATCTCCTCTTTCCCATTATTTTATTTCCTAAATCTCTTTTTAGTCCTTGCTGGCCTACTTTACTGCTCTACCTAATATCAAAATGCCTCAGGGGAGTTGGGCAGTGTTCAACAGAGTAAAAAAAAAGAATCCTGAACACCCTAAAAAAGTGTCAATGCAAGCGCCTGCAGGGCAAGAAAAGCTCTAGAACTGTGTTCCGTGGCAACCAAAGAGGGGTTCCTTTAACTCTTTCAGTTCAGGAACTGAACAATCACAGAATTCTGCTCGGGGATATGGTAGCATTAGGGTTGCCATCCCCCAGGTGGGGCCTGGAGTTCTCAGAGTTAGAACTGATCTTCAGGCTACAGAGATCAGTTCTCTTGGGGGGAATGGCAGCTTCGGAGCATAGACTCAGTGGAATTGTATCCCCACTGAACTCTGCCCTCTCTCCAAACTCTTCCTTACCCAGGCCCCACCCCCAGATCTCCAGGAATTTCACAAGCTGGAGCAAGATGTGCCAGAGCATTTTCTTATCGGCTTTCCAAAGCAGGAACAGCCCCTCTCCCCATCTTAGCTGGTCTTATGCAGATTTGCTCTGTATCTGAGTTTGTTGCATGATTCTTGGACAATGAACTGGTTCATGGTGTTAAGCAAGGTGGTGTGGCAGAGGGGATGATAGTGGAGTATGTGCAGGAGAAAGGGACAGGTTTGGTCTTCTGAAAAAAGGCTCCTGCTTCACCATTGTCCCTCCCCTCTTAGTCACATGGCAAGTGTAGTACTTAACTGATCTATTGTCTCAGGAGGGACTAGAACAGCTAGCATAATAGGATGCTCCTGGCTGGGTGTATAAGCTTCCCTGGGTTTCTGTGAGCTGGAGGGAAGACAGGCTCCCGGCTGACAGCATAGCTCTCCCACCCACTGTAATTAGTAAGATAAAAGCATACAGAGCAAAAGTTTAATTGGAGCAGCCATGAGAAGAAAGTTTATGCTGCAGCTGCTTTCAATGGTTTTCCATTCCAGACATGTCTGCTTTCTAAATCTCTGGAAAAAAGCTGCAAATGCCAGAAATATCGGTCCACAGGAACTGGTTAGATTATTTTATTGTAATTTATTGGTTTTAAATCATATGATATTGTTTTAAACCTGGCACTTGTGCCCTGTAAGCCGCCCTGAGCCTTCGGGGTAGGGCGGGGTATAAATTTAAATATAAATAAATAAATAAATAAATAAAGGTTTCTGTCATGTTTTTGAATTCTCTCCATTGGGATACCTCTTGGGGGTTATCAAACAAATTGGTGGATGGTCTCAGTTCTGTATTAGATAAACTTCTTCTGTTCAACTGGCTGTTGAAGGTCTTGCAGACTAATCCTTGCTGTTCAAGTTCAAGGTAAGCCTAACAGGAAATGCCCCTTTCCTTCTCCTTTGAGAAGAGACTTATGATGAAGGCCGGGTGCCAGAGCCTCAGCTGGGTGGTTTCTGCATATTCTAGAATCAGAGACCTTTCACTTGTGCTCAAGGTGGGAGAAGGTGTTTCATTTTGAGCTGAACTAGACTTAGTATAACCTGTGTTTCATTCAACATCTTTACCTATATAACTGTTGTGTAAACAATTTACTTGAATAATGTCTTCACTTAGAAATCATTATAGCTGATATCCTTGTTGTGTTACCTGTGCGCACTTCCTCATTGCAGGGGCAGGGCAGGCCCAGCAAGATCTATCGTGATTATCTAGCCTTGGCCAGGGCAGAGCTATTGTGGCGCTGAGAGATGCAGTTAGATGCTGCAAAGTAGGACAGCTACTGCTTCCTTCAACAAATCAAGCTCCCAGAAGTAATCTCCAAGGGCCTTCCTCCGCACTGCCTGTCCAGCCCAGTTCAGAAACAGTTTTGGCCTAGCCAAACCTATTCTCACTTTGTCCTGCTCAAAGACCGCTCCAACAGCTAAGCGTGTGCATGATGCATTTTCTTAATGACTATTCAAAACACTGATGAAACTTGAGAAGGTTTCCATCCATAGGAAAAGTGTGGTATGGTTTTAGGTCTGCCTGAAAAAAGTCAACTGGTATCCCATTTGGTCCTAGACAATTTACAGTGAAATTGCTGCAGCCATTTTAAGTTTGCACATTGTTTTGGAAGGCTTTAGGTCTATCTACAGGTCACGAGGTGGTAAGAATTGTCTAGCTCAATGTGAGCTGAGAGAAGATTTCTTCTAGATGTGCCTCAATCCTTATGTATTTGTCAACAAATAGATGTTTACTCTGTGTCCAAAGAACTGATTTCAGGTTTCTCTCTCTCTCTCTTTTGGATTAGACCCTTTTGAAGAAATATTCCATGCTATATTACATCTGACCTATAGATACATCTAACCTTTGTCTCATTTAGCTTCTGTACGAGCCAGTGACTACCCGTGAGTCACCATGACAACCAAACAGCCTCCCCCTCTGATGAAGAAGCACAGCCAGACAGACCTCGTGAGCCGTTTGAAGACAAGGAAGATCCTGGGGGTTGGGGGGGAGGACGATGATGGAGAAGTTCACAGATCAAAGGTAAGAACTGCTGTCTTGGACTGCTTTGCAGAGTTCGGTGTTAAGAGACATGGTTGGGGCTACCATTCTAATTACTGCCCAGTAACATGAGCTTTATGCAAATACTTCGACCACAAGTGTTGGTGTTCCCACACAAGCAGGTGACTGGGCTGCACGTATTGAGGCTCAGTTCCAAGCTAAGGCAGCGTACTCCTTATATAAGTAGCTTCACAGAGTGTGGTGTGTTGCCAGCAAGAACACGCAACAATTACCATTCCAAAGGTAATTGATATCCTACAGGCATAGGGTGTCCTATAAGCATAGGATATCATAACTTAGTTTGGAAGGTTCTGAGGAAGAATGAAAAATATCTTAGTGCACAGCATCACTAGCTGATTTTAATGGGTGAAGAAAGGAATTATTTATCCCTAACATGTTGATCAGTTAATTATTGTGAAAATAAATAATGTTTGGAATTCATGTTCAGTTCAGGGGATCAGTAAACTTGGCAACTGAGCAAAGGTTGCCTGTTGATTAAGGAAAGGCCAGAGAGATTAGGGTGGGTGTGAAGAAAGAACTGAAGGGTTAAGGTGGTCGAATTTGGAGCCAGTATGAAACTCACACTTAGGAAATGTCGGCCCTGCAGGAAAAGTTCCTCAAGTTTCACCAGACATAGGAAGATCTGTGTTTAAAAACTGAGGTGCTCCGATGCCTCACCAAAAAGCTCTGAGCTGACCAAAGCAGCCTTTCAGTGCTGATTGCAACACATGGAACTGAATGGATAAAAGACTGGAAGGCCAAAAAATTAATGCTACTTTGCTTAAGGCTGGAGAAAACTACAGATAAACAAGAGCAGAAGAGCGTATGACAGCGCACTGCAGAGAAGACTCGGCAACACAAATACATTGGAATTACAAATTTATTTCTGTCTTACTCATTATTTAGGCCACCCTAATTTATTATCCTGGTTGAACTCTACCTGCTTTCCAGTCCATTGCACCAGCTTCTCCACCTCCTCACACACAGAGCTGTTGTGTGTCTGAATTAATTACAAAACTGAGTGAGTGAGATGATAGATTCACAGTCGTGGGAGGAATTACTAGGCCTATGGGGGTGGCTGGTTGAAGCTGCTGTTCTCACCTCATCAGAGAAATGTCTTGGTAAGTGTAGGAATATCCATAAATCTGTAAACTGTTTCAGTTCCCTGTAAGAACTGACAGGCTTGTTTCTTGTATAACTTGCATACTGTCCTCTTCAATGATGTGACAATGTGTACTGTCTTTCTTTACTGTACTCTGTCCCCTGATTAAACCAAAATCAAACATATGTTCAAAGATCTAGAATTTGCTGATATGGTTTGGAGGGGAAAAAACAGTTCGAGACAGCAGCTTAATGCATTCCCCTGACTTTTTTTTTTTAATTCTGCATGTTGGGATATAGGGCTTGTGTCCTTCTATTCTCTCACACAGGGCATAATACACAGGGTACAAGTTAACCTGGTTTAATAATCATTCAGTTTGCCGTGGGAACTGTTATTCTGTGAGTGGTGCCATCCTAATCTACTAGGTTTGCTTTCAGTGTGGGTAGTGTGTGGAAGGGAAACCATGTATCCTTCCTGAGTTCAGTGAGGAAAGCTGGAATAAAGATGTACTAGACAGTGTGTACAAGTATGTTGGACCTTCCTTATGCTGTCCAGTTCTATTGGATTAACATCCCTCCCCCAACATGAAGTCATCGGGGGCTGAATGAATCACCTTTGCATAAGCTAGTTTGAAGAAAGAAAACAAGGTGGGATTGGATGTGCAAAGGTCGCAAAGAGCAGTGGTGGAACTGGCCAGCTCTCCCCCACCCATCTGTGCAGGGAATCCCCTGTTCTCTGAAGGAAAATAGAGGTGAGAAGGGAAAGCTCATCCGTTTCACCTCTGCTCTTTGCTGCCTTTACCCATGGGCTGAATAATGAGACATTAGCTCTAAAAATGGCAGTGAGGTTCTATACATGTCGGTATTTTACACAGACAGCTGTACATCTGCTGCTGCTTAGCCTAGCCATTGGTGCACTTCTCTTTCTAGTCTGATTCTGAGGTATTCTAAGTAACGTCAGATTTGCTAATTAATTCCAACTCTGGGATGTCAAGCTGGATTCTCCCTTTGAAACTCCTTTAATAAAGTATGGTGGTCTTCATATGTACCACATAATGTGCTGAGAGATTGAGCCGCCGCCCCTCTGACAGACAGCCAGACAGACAGACAGACACACCCACCCACACACATGCATTCTGGACATTACCTTTTCCTTGAAGGAAGGAAAGGAACTGGAAGAGCCATGTCTGGGCTGGCCAGCTACAGAAAGGAAAGGGATTAATTAGCCCCTTTCCCACCCAGCTCACCACTCCTGATTTTAGCCTCCCACAAGACAGACAGAAGAATCTTAGCACTACAAAGTATATGCAGCTTGGCTCTAAATCATTGGGCTTTTGTAGAGAAGCTGTAAACTAAAAGGATGAAAAACAGAAGGAAACACCATGTTTTCAGAACACGAAGAGAAACTGCTGGTGTTGATTCCTAATCCAATGGATGTGCTTCAGTAGGGCCCAAAGGGAAGCTTTTAAGAACAACGTCACTAGGTATTTTTGCTTGGTCTGCTTACCAAAATGTAGAATAAAACATTGTCAGCAACGTATTTCTCTGTTCCACAGAAACTCTTTATCTTCCCTAAGAGACTGTTTTGAAGAAAATAAATCTCAGGTGCCATGTCACTGCACCTCATGTCGAAGAACCACTTTGATTCTGGTTCATCTCCAGTTCTGATCTCTTTTTGTGCCACTCCAGGCAATACAGTGCTCCCACATCTTCTGCTAAATGTGGTGTCTGAACTTTTGGACCATTATGACATCTAAGGAAACGATGGATATGAAGGGAGTGCTCAACCCTTCTCCTTCCAGTCACTCCCCCCCCCACCTGAAGTCCCCCAAAGTGGGTTCAAAGTGGGTTTACAAGGTGAACATGGGTCCAGAATACCACTTGGTGTGAAAACATCTTGGGGGAGTGTTAGATTAAGGAGAAAAGAAAAAGACTGAGCATCCTCATTCTCTAATGCAATTCTGTCCCTTCTGAGGGCACTTTGTAGGTGAGGAGGGCCTGCTTGGGCCTGACAAACTCTACAGTAGAGATGGTTCCTTGCCGCAATGTTATGTTAAATAGTTAATAAAGTGGCCCTTGTTTACTTCCAAACTGTTGTCTGTCTCGTTATTCCGACTGGGGAGGCAATGAGTATAGTCTTGACCAGCCTATGCCCCCCATACATAGTATTTACGTTTGTGCAAATTATCCTCTTGTAGCATGATAGCAGCCACTCGTATGATTTTGGAAAACCTTAAAACGCTGGTCACCTGCCCAAAGTGGGAGAAAAGGTTGTCATAGGTCTCCTTATACTAGCAAATAACACAACTGGGTCTAAGAGAATAATAAAAGAATATCTGGAGAAGGCATGAGGTACTGGTAAGATTGCCAACTTTAGCCTGGAAAATTCCTGGAGATTTGGAGGTGGTTCCTGTGGAGGGGGGAATCTGGGGAGATATTTCAGCTAAAATATGTTTATCTGCTGTAAGGTCTGCCCTCTGAAACTTATTTTCTCCAGGGGAAGTGATTTCTGCAGGTTGAAGATCAGTTGTAATTCCAAATGATATGCAGGCCTCACCTTGAGGTTGGTAGCCTTAGGTACTCAGCCTCCATAATGGGAATTCTCTGGATCACCCTTTTAATTCTGTGCTGTTCACAACTTCATATCGGGCTCCAATAGCATGCAGTTCTGTGCTTTTGCTATATCCTCGAGTCATCTTTGGTCAGTAAGTGGATGTTGACTACTTGGGGCTTTGTAAAACAGGCGGGTAGTGCTGTTGGGTCTGCATGAGTCTGGAATGTCCTACATGCTTTATGAATGTCATTTGTAACAAACTGCTTTTAGTATTCATGGATTTGACCTGGTGTCATTCACCTCCAGCAATTGCCTAGCAACTGATTTTGCCATGGCACCCATGGGATAACTTTTTGAACTGTTAGCTTTCATTCATGGGATTTTCAGTTCTCCTGTTGGTACATATGATATACCTGTTTTAAAATTAGTTCTGCCAAGTTAACACAAACCATTTTTTAAGGTGTGAGTCAGCCCTGGAGAGGGGGTTGGTGATGGAAAATCCTGATTATGTAGATGGAAACATGATGACTGAAGACAACAGACTTGGTGCATTCCTTATTTTATGCACATCCTATTTTTGCTGCTGTACTTCCAGATGCCGTTTTGTAAAACCACAAGGGCTAGGAACTTTAAAACAAGACTTGAAAGGGCTGCAGATTTCTCAGCACTTCAATGACAGCTGTAGACATTTTCATTTGAATTAAAATGGGCAGAACCCCGGAACAGGGGAAAGGAGTGCTTCAGTTGACCCCTTGAGGGTCATGAGTGCTGACCTACATTGAAATCAACAATGTCTGCAAGAACAGGGAGAATTATTAAAAAATTGTGCAGAGTAAGCCACACTAAGATCGTCTTGTCTAACTGTGAGACAAAGTCAATTGGGGTGGATTTCTTCTCCCACCTCATCAAAACTGCTTGACCGCTTTGGCCCAAAAAGGAACTTGTCACCTTGCCAGGATGAGCTTTTGTTTGTTTTGAGGGAAACTGCTTGTTCTTAATTGCCCTCAGATTATTAATCCTTCTTTATATCCACCTTGATCAAAACAAGCTAGCTAGTTTGGGCCCGTTCTTCTCTGCAGCAAGCTCCTCTCTGAGGTTTAAGGCTGCCTTTGTCTCATTTTCAGAACACAGGAAATAATACAGAATGGCATGTGCAAATTGTTTTCTTTCCTCAGCTAACAACGTGACACTGAGATAGGCAGGAAGCATCCCAAGACTCCTTTGTTGTTCTCACTTCCTTGCTAAAGAGCTCTTTCCTGAGACTTAGATGTGTTTTGGGCTGATAGATCTAGAGATTCTGTTTGTTGTGATCCTCTTTGAGGATCTTACTCAGTCATTTGCAGGGACACCAGTTCCCTCTGCAACAAGATGCAAAAGTTTCCCCTCTAGTTGTGGTTCTCTCTTTATTGTAGTTTGAATACTGCCTTGAGCTGTAGAAAGGCAGGGCATACATTTTTAAAATAATGTGATGTTGGAGAGAGTTTCACAGATCAACTTTCCCCCCCATCAAGTCACAGCCAACTTTAAGGCAAGAGGTGTTCAGAGGTGGTCTGCCACTCTCTGCTTCTGTGTAGTGACCCTGGTTTTCCTTGGTGGTCTTCTATCCAAATACTAACCAGGGCTAACCTTGCTTGGATTCTGAGATCTGATGAGATGGGGCTATCCTGAGCTATCCAGGTCAGGGCCACAGATACCATGGACCACCAAAAAACAACAACAAATCATAGATTCTAGATCAAATCAAGCCTGAATTCTTCTTGGAAGCTAAAATGGCCTTCAGTTTGCAAGACCTGAGCAAATCTCTCAATGATAGGCCATTTTGGAGGTCATTAATTCACAGAGTCACCATAAGTCAGAAGCAAATCGATAGCACATAACACACAGATTCCTTTACCACTTTTTTCTCCTTTCTTTTAAAGTGGAAAAAAGTTTCTCTTCCTTTGTCTATAGTTAGGGAGAGAAGGGTCAGTTTCAGAGATACATAATTGCTGCAGTTCCTTGTGAAGTGATCAATTCTTAGCTGCCTTGTGAATGTTGTATGAGAAAGAATCCATAACTCATTCACAGGATCGAGTAACATATTAATGCAGTTCTCCCCCCACCTCCAGGCTTCACAGTCTCCCAAAATGACAGTCATTTGAATTTCCTTTGTTTTGTGTTTCAAGCAACAATGAGTAGCTGTGGGTTGTTATATTAAGAAGCATTTTACACAAACCAAATTATTTTACAATCTAGTAACACCTCGAACTCTTAACTATTTCAGCATGAGCTTTGATGAGTCAGAGCTCAGTTCATCAGGTACTGATCTCAATTGTAACTTCATCTGACCTAGCAGTCATTTCTTTACTTCTGGAATTATAACATGGAGGAGGGATTTGACCCTTGTTGTTGTTGTTCATAGCGTCTGTTCTCTAAAAGTGGAATTATGTGCCCACTGGCTATATTAAAACATTGTGTGGTGATTCTAACCATTCTTTTGTAGGTTAGAGAGGTTACAAAGACATGGTAGTACTCCTTCATTGTTGCGGTTATTCACAACTTACTCTCACAGATTTAGAACCACAATATAATAAGGCTGCAAACAAACCACCATTTGTTGCTGTAGATTTTCTGGGATGTCTGGCCGTGGTCTTGGCACTGTAGAACCTGATGTTTAGCCAGTAACTGTGACTGGCATCCTCAGAGGTATAAACACAGAAAGATGGACTACTCTCTGTATCAAGGTGAGAAGAAAATGGTAAGCAGTAAATTTATATCTACTCCAGAAGGTGGGAAGGGTCACAGAGAGTATTCCATCCTCTGAGGATGCCAGTCACAGTTACTGGCGAAACGTCAGGTTCTACAATGCCAAGACCACGGCCACACATCCCGGAAAATCTACAGCAATTAGTGAACTCCGGCCGTGAAAGCCTTCGACAACAAATCACCATTTGTTCATGATACATGATGAGACTTAGATCCTCAGGTTTGTGTGTGTGTACACAGAGAGAGAGTCACAATAAATCAGAAAGGGCTCTGCATAAGGGAGGAGGGAGTGCAGCATCTCAGAGCTTGATGTGTGCTTGATGTCAGAACAGAATCTGAGAATTTAAATGGCCACAATTTCATCCAGGGAGACTTCTCTAAGTGTATGGTCACTCGCTTTTGTCTTGCAAATTAGGGTTGCCATCCCCCTGGTGGGGCAAGGGGATCCCCCAATTTCGGGGGGCCCAATCCACTGCAGGCCAGCTGGCCAGTGGGGGAAGCCCCACCGCCAAACAGCAGTGTCCCATGCTGAAGACTCTATGGTTACCATAGAGTTTTTGCCCCAGATGCTAGAGTGTCATTGTGCAACAGACCTAGCATAATGATGTCACTACTGGTGACATCATTGAACTGCACATGCTTTGCGCATGCAGCAGAAGACTCCCAAAAAGGAGCCGAGAACCCCTCACTGCAGCAAAGGTGAGACCTGGCGACCGTACTGCAAATAGAGGAGGAATATGCTGCACCTGTTCTTGTATGGTAGGAGATGGGGCTTGTCATAGGTCTAGAAAACATTTTCCTCTTCTCAGATGGTATATTTTGCTGACTGTCTCCAGGGGACCTGACATCCATCTTTCTCTTTCAAATTTCAGATCAGTCAAGTTTTGGGCAATGAAATAAAGTTTGCTGTGAGAGAACCTCTGGGGCTCAGGTAAGTTTCCAGACTGCTGAGGTCAAGGAAAGAAAGGGATAAGTGTTAGGCTACCTTGGTGCCTCTCCTTCCCTACTGTTTCATGCTTAATCTTTACTTCCTTAGTGTTTGGTGTAGCCAGTTTGTTGTAGTGGTTAGGAGCATAGACTCTAATCTGGGAGAACCTGGTTTGATTCCCCAGTTCTCCACATGCAGCTGCTGGTGTGACCTTAGGTCAGTTGCAAGTTCATTCAGAGCTGTTCTCTCATGAGCAGTTCTTGAAAGGGCTCTCTCAGCCCCACCTACCTCACGGGGGTGTCTGTTGTGGAGAGGGGAAGGGAAAGGAGATAGTGCTCTGAGATTCCTTTGGGTAGTGAAGGGTGGGGTATAAATCCAGTCCTCCTCCTCCTCTTCTTCCTCTTCCTCTTAATTATGACTTGGCAGAACAGGCATACTTGTGCAGAATAATTCCTCTGGGTGCTGCGGCTGGCCAGCCTTTAAGCAGTATGCCTGTATATTTGCCTTCTGTGTTTCCTATGCTGGATGAATGAAAGACTCAGAGATTAGACGGATTCCTTTTTTGTGCCTTTAGCAATTGTGCTTCAGAGGGATGAGTAGCAAGTGTGGCTGTTCCAGTTACTGGATATTTGAAGAAAAAGAAGCTGCATTCGGGGGGGGGGGTATCTATAGTTTTTAAAGGTAAAATCCAGTTGGGAAGTGCACTGAAAGTGGATTGAAAGTGGATTATTTAGTTTGTGTGACTGCAGCCATAGTGTTCCATCGATACCTTGTGGCTAATAGCCGCTGATGGACCACTGCCCCATATGTTTATCTAATCCCCTCTTGAAGCTGTCTATGTTTATAGACACCCCATTTCAGGTGGCAGTGAATTCCATGAGTTAATTACTCTTTGAGTAAAGAAGTACTTAAGAAAATTCAGTCTAGTCTCTGAAGCTATAACTATCCTCAGCCAGGTTTGTCCACCTGGAGACCTGTGCTGCTTATCTGTTCTTTGAAACCTACTTTGTAAATAAACAAATCTTTGTTGTTTAAATACAATTCCTGCCTCATTGACCTCCGTATTCTTCTTGTGCACCACAAAACTTACCTCACAGCAGCAAACCCAAAGCCTATACACTCGCTTCCTTTAGAATACCTGGTAACTGAGGGAAAGGTTTATGGTTTAAAATAAACCTGGTTCCCCCCAAAATTATAGGAGGCTGTGTAGATCCCCTCAGTTGATGGAAACAACCTGTCACCATGTGTGGTCCACCAGTATATTGCTCCACTTTGATGCAGATCCTAGTGAAGTCTTGGTGGCCCCGGTCACACTGGGGGAAAAGGTGTGGCTGAAGTGCGGCTTTTTTGAGCTGCGTCAAAAGAGAAGTGCGGCGGCGGGATCACACAGATCCCCCGAGCCACCGCGCAGTTGCTCCCCGGCATGATCAGATGCCGGGGGGAAGCCACAGATCAGTGAGCGAGCCAGCCCGCTGCGCATGTGTGTGCCTGCGCAGTTTGGCTGGGGGCCTCGCATGCTGCCAGAGATGGGTGCGCCGGCGATCACACGGCCACCCCTGCTGCAGATTTTCAGGTAAGTAGTAGTGTTTTGTAGGGTTGTTTTTTTTTAAATCCGCGTCTTCGGCCAAAAGAGACGGATTAGGGACGGGTGCGCGCCGCTTCCCAGATGTTGAGGTGTGATCGCGCCCGCTTGATGCGCCCCCGATCCATCCCTTTCGTGGATCAAAGCCTCCCGTGTGACCGGGGCCGGTACTGCTTAAAGACTGAAGCAAAGCTTGTCTGTCCTTTTATTGAGAGTGTGTGGAACTGCAGGGGGTGGGGAGGAGAGCAGGTCTTGTTGCATTTGTTTGCTCACCTTAGACTCCTGCCACGCTAAGTTCTGGCTGAGCTTAAAAAACTGTATGGTAAACCAAAACACTACATTTTTACCAAGAGCAGGGTGCAATTTCATTTACAGATCATATATACAGCTATTCAATGTTGATATACGGTGTGTCTACTATAAACATCGTTCTAGAAGAAAAGTAAGCAACCTTGGATGCAGAGTGGTCTGTGAAACACTGGAACAGAGTCTGGGTCCAGTGGCACCTTTAAGACCAACAATGTTTTATTCAAGGTGTGAGCTTTCGTGTGCATGCACACTTCCCCGGATACCATGAATAAAATGTTGTTGGTCTTAAAGGTGCCACTTCGTTCTACTGCTTTGTTCTACTACTTCAGACCAACACAGTTGCCTACCTGGATCGGTGAAATACTGGCAAGACCAAACTGTGATGTCAGAAGAAAGGCAAAAGTGGTTATGTGTGTGCCTGATACCAGGTGTTTTGTTGTTAAGTTAGGAGAGGCCTGCTGAGAATTGATCCATTAATGACTTTACAATGGCATTGCCATGGGTGCTTTCTCTGGCAGTCAATCAATCTTTTGTATAACAGACCTAGAAGTAAAGCTGTAAGGCTGAATGCTTTTTTAAAGAAAACTAATCTTTCTGTAATAACTGGCACATGACTGCCTTCAATAAAGATGGCCAGTCAGCTCTTGTACAACCAATAGATAAATACTTCCTTTTTATGGGAGAACCTTTGCTTCTCAATGCTGTTCTTCCTCAAGCTGTTAACTTTAAATCTAGATTTTTTATTTTATTTTTTGCAAAATGTTAGTTGCTTTCAGAAAAGACAGGTCATCATCTTGTCCCTTCCTTCTTCTTCCTTTTGCATTCTTCTTTATCCTAATTTAAGGCAACAGGAATTGCTGTGATGCCATTCTTTCAAAACAAAACTATTGTATGGAAGCAGTCTACAAAACTTACCAAACCAAACATTTTGACAATGAAAAGATTATATTGTCTTCGATCTCTCCTACAGGGTTTGGCAATTTGTGTCGGCCATCATATTTTCTGGGGTTGCCATTATGGTAAGTGACAAAAATATTCATGGAAAGACAGGTGTGGGAGGAGGAGGCAATAAAGAAATTACAGGGCAGGGTGTAATTAACACTCAACATTTGCAGCCCTCCCCCCATGATGTTTTCCCTACATTGTATTCCTAAGCAAAGGTTCAACTATTCAGAACTGCTCAGGAAAAGTGTGGCTGGCATGGCACAAGTTGGAGTGGAGCCATGGCAGTTAGACAGAAATTAATTCCTGCTTCTTCTGCATTCTGAATTGCCTCACACCAAAGTAGCTATTACTTGGTTTAAAAAATAACTGTTATGAGATTTGTATGTTGCCTTTCTATTCTAAGAATAGTCAAAGCAACTTATGGTACTGAACAGGCAGTACTTATATTATTTCAGAATTGGTTTCTTGAGGCATTACTCTATCAGCATTTTAAAAAGTAATAAAGAAGAGCAAATAAAAGCAGAAGCATTTTTTGATCTGTGGTGTTAAGAAATCTCATATTTTATTGTATAACAGATCTCACAGTCTGATCTTGGAGAAATCAGTTAATTCCACATGCCACATTTAACATGCATACTTGTTAACCCCCACCTTTGTAGGGCAGTGTTCCACAGCTGAATAGGCACTTCAGAGGGCCATAGTTTATGACAGTCCAGATTCTCAGCAGGGCCTAATCTGGTTGTCCCTGAGTTCAGGCAGGTTTGTATGGAGCTTTTGGGTGTTAGGGTTCAGTTCTCAGGGCCAAGGTCCTATTTCTTGCCACAGTTGCACATCCTCTTCGCTCTGCTCGCTGAACCAGACTGAAGCACAGGTGCTGATATTTCTTTCTTCTTGTTTTTCTTCCTGTTAGGCTCTCACATTTCCTGATCAGCTCTACGATGCTGTCTTTGACGAAGAGTCTGTCAACAGCAAGACACCCATCCGTCTGTATGGAGGAGCCTTGCTTAGTGAGTATTGTCTGGAGCCAGGAGAGATGGCCATTAGCCACAAGGTATAGATAGGAACTCTCAGGCTGGGGCAAGTGATGCTCTGTATTCTTGGAGCTGGGGGGGGGGCAACAGTGTCCTGGCCCCACTGCTGGACCTCCTGATGGCACCTGGTATCTTTGGCCACTGTGTGACTGAGTGTTGGACTGGATGGGCCATTGGCCTGATCCAACATTGGCTTCTCTTATGTTCTTATGACAGAGTCTGTTGCAAATAGCCTAGGAGATGCTGTGAGAGGAGAACTGGGTTCATTAGGTGGTGCAATGTCATTCCCCTCAGAGATAGGCAGTGATTTCTATTCTGCAGCACTCTGTCGTGTGGGGGCAGGTGAAACAAGATACAGCCAAAAGCTGCCCAAGTCACTCAAACACTTGGCAAGTTTGGAAAAGATGGTAAAGGTGTCCAGGCATGATATGCTTTAAGGGCAGTTCAGATGAACGGTTGCCTTGCCATGTTGGCTGAAGTCACTATGGTGTGACCCTTCCCCCCCCCCCTTTTGGCTATCTTCATTTGAATTCCGTCATAAAGATAGTGGCTGAAGTTAAAGTATTTTTAGTCGTGTCTTCTTGCCCAAGGTTTGTGATGCTGCTCCCTCCATCAGTTCAAACCAAAACATCAAAATGAACCCATAACATATTACAATGCAAACATACACACACACAAACAAAAGAAAACCAAAAACCCTGTTGCATAATTTACATTGCTGAGAAGGGCAAATTTGGTCTGACATCTCATGAGAAGCACCATAGATCAGGTTCCAATCCAGTGAGCAGTCCAGGCCGGGAGTCCCAGGCATGGTCATGAGATCCAGTCTAATATCATTTTGATTGCTTCTCCTAAGGGAGACTACAGCCATACAACCGCTGCTGCTGCCCACCTTCCATTTTAACTGGGAAGAAATCTGATTTGCTGACTGAGTGGTATCTGTTTTAGGGTCAGGTTTACCTTCCAGTAGTCACAGGCCAATTAGGGTCGCCAGGTCCAATCTCCCCCCCCCCCCGACGGGGGGATTAGGAGGCATTCCAGGAGGAGGTGTGGCCACCCCCAGTACGATGACATCACTCTGTGTGATGTGATCACACCCCCACTTTCCCCCTATCATTTAAAAGGAAACCTCCCTTTAAATGGTGTGTGGGGGGGAGTGAGGGCCAAGTGCTCCAGCTTTGCAAGAGGCAAAATTGCCTCTTGCAAGGCAGGAGCCGATGGTCCCCACTTGGGAAGATTGGGCGTGCAGGCCTGGTCCCTGCCAATGTGAGCACTCAAAGACGCTCACAGCTGGTGAGCCCCATGTGTCTGTTCTCCAAGTGGCATTGTTGCTTGGAGATTAGGCACATGGGGCCCTGTCCATGCCAGGTGCGAGCACCCTTTAAGTGCTTGTAGCTGGCAGGCCCCACGGGCCCGATCTCCAAGTGGCAATGCCGTTTGGAATTCAGGCATGCTGCCAGCAGCCGCCCCCTCCACCCCCTCTCTCAAGAGAGAAGGAAGAGGGGTGGCTGTGGGTGTTCGGGCTTGGAGGCGGGGCTTCCCCCACTGGCCAGCTGGTTGGTGGTGCGTTGAACCTAAACACCACCAGACCGGGAGGTCTGGCAGCCCTAAGGCCAGTAGCATTTGCCAGCTACATTCTTCTGTTTCCAGAACACTCCTGTTGCTTTTTTAAAAGGGATTTTGGGGGAAGCCAAAGAGAGGAGTCCATGCAGGCTAAAGGTGGGAGAGCTATGGCAAGGCATTCTTTGTGTAATGAGTCTTGAAACAACAGTTAACACAAGTGAAGCTGGGAGTTTCTCAGCCTATACTGGCAGACTTTTTTTAAAGTTACATAATGGCACGTTATTTTAACACTTGTGGTTATTTTCTGTGGTCCTAATATAAAGCATTACAGGACATTTCCCTCCTTTTATAATCTGCTCAAACTGTAAACCTGCAGTGGCATCTGATGGCTCCAAGTGGAAATGCAGCAATTTAAGATGAGGGTTTTGAAACAGGCTTGCTTGGGAGCAGTTTTCTGTTTTGCCTTTTCATGCTGCGGTATGATATTTGCGTCTCTGCAGTTCTGTCTCAGGCTGCTGATCAGCACTGTTTTCTGAGCTCTGCAGATAGCTTATAATAATAATAATAATAATATACTTTATTGTCATTGTACACAGTACAACGAAATTAAAGGTGCAATCATTTCAGTGATCTACAGCCATACACATATACACTCAAACAACCATTCACAACCATCCCATAACTCCCTTAAGGTTCACATTGCAACCTAAACCACCAAGTATTCCCTACTTGACCTCTTGCCTGATTGAATTATTTCTTAATGCATAGAACTAAACATGTAAATCCTTCTGCACCTGGGGGAATGCTGTTGTTTTTATGAACAAATACTGCAGCATGGATAAAGTAACAACCCCCCCCCCCCGCTTTTTCGAAGAAGTTCTATGGGAACACCTGGCTTTGTCTTGAGCCTCCTCTGTCTCAAATGCAGGAACAGTCTGCTGCTGTTGTAAATAGTTTGAATAGATGGAATTTCATCTTTTCTTGACCTTTTTTAAGACTGCCTTTTGTAGCTTTGTTAATTCCACTGCTCACCTATTGTAGAAAACAGAGGGACTGTCAAGAAAGAAAGGATTGGGGTCAGTGTATTATATTTGCAGGGAAGTCTTGGATCTCAAAAGAAGGGGGGGGCATCTGTACTAGGTGGGAGACAGCTGTAAAATGTTTTAGGGTGGGAATGGATGGAAGATAGCTGTAGAATGTATTAATTAGAGGAAAGATGCTCTTGTACCTCATTTGTTAATGCTCAAGTGAATACGGCAGATTTAACGGTAACCATGATAGTACAGGTGACTTTTTGACAATTCTGGAGACCCAATCTCAGACCCCCACAAACACCACCAGCCTTCTTCCTCTCATCTGAAGGTGGGGCAATGGAAGAAGATTAATTCCCAGACAGGCTCCTCTAAAGTGTTCCTTGAGGAACCCTGTGTGATGGACAGTTTTAACTGTTGGCCAACTATGCAGTTGGGAAGGAGAGGGTTTAGGAGCTGTCCTGGTTAGGCAATAAGCCCAGTAGGGACTTTAGTGAATTAATATGTAGGCAAGATTTGGGTGTGTTCCTCTCAAAAACAATTTAAAAGGCAAGAGTCTATTATGTATTTAAAAGTCTGAAATTTCAAAGATACTGAACTATAAGTGTGTATACTCTAAAGGCCCAGCTATCTGTTACTTTGTGAAATTAGGCTCTGAAGAGATTTGGAGAAAATTCGGTCACTCTTATCAATTAAATAAAGTTGTTATTTTGTGTGTGTTTTTCTGACTCCAGTATGTTACATTTAGTATTATAACCTGACTGGGGACCATATAAACACGGGGGAAATTGTCCTGATGAAAATAGGTTCTGTTCCTGTGATTATCAGGTAGTCAAAATAATATATCTTGATTATACATCTGAGAGTCTGGAAAATTATAAACGGTGGAAGTGGTGGTTGATGAAGTAGGACATCTTGGTTTAGCCTGAGGGATGTGGTGGGAAAGTTATTAAAAACATGTGAAGGGCTTGGATTAAGTGTAGTTCATGAGACCCTGGTCCCAGGTAGTTTAGGATCAACACCAGAATTTCATATTTATTCTGGAAACTGGCAGCTAGTGAGGATCCTTGACTACTGGAGTGAAGAATTTCTGTGGTATGCTGTGGTCAACAATCTGTCCACTGTATTCTTAAACAGTTGAAATTTCTAAATAATACTCCAGTGCAATCCAACATACACTGCATCACAGCAGGTAAAGCCTGGATGTAAGTAGCACATGCATAAGTGTGGCCTGATCATCATCTTCTCAGAAGAAGCACTTCTAGCAAGGTTCCATCTTGTCTCCTATGCGCTTTAATATATGCATGAAGCTGCTGGGTGAGGTCATCCAGAGATTTGGGCTGGGATACTGCCAGTATGTAGATGACACTCAGCTCTATTTTGCACTTCCAGCTGATCCCAGGGAAGCTGTAGGAACCCTGAAGTGGTACGTGGAGGCAGTTTTGGGGTCAATTAAGGCTAATTATAAGACACCTGCTCCTTGGGAGGAAAGCGATGGCAAACCTAGGCAGCATAATAAAAGTAGAGAAATCACCCTGCCAACAGAAGTCCATATGGTCAAAGCAATGGTATTCCCAGTAGTAATGCATGGCTGTGAGAGTTGGACTATAAGGAAGGCCAAGCGCCGAAGAATAGATTCTTTTGAATTATGGTGCTGGAGAAGACTCTTGAGAGTCTCTTGGACTACAAGCAGGTTAAATCAGTCAATCCTAAAAGAAATCAACCCTGACTGTTCCCTGGAAGGCCAGATACTGAAGCTGAAGCTCAAATACTTTGGCCACCAAATGAGAAGGGAGCATTCACTGGAGAAGACCCTGATGCTGGGAAAGATTGAAGGTCAAAGAAAAGGGGGATGGCAAAGGATGAGATGGTTAGACAGTGTTATCGATGCAATGAACATGAAATTAAGCAAACTCCAGAGCACGATGGAAGACTGGAGGGCCTGGTGTGATGTGGTCCATGGGGTCCCGAAGAGTCAGACTCGACTGTGCGACTGAACAACAACAAAGGCTAATAAAGTGAAGCTTAATCCTGACAAGATGAAAGCGCTACAGGTGGCCGGAAGGTCTATCTCAGAATTTAAAATGTCACTTATTCTAGATAAGGATGCTCTGCTCTTAAAGGAACAGGTCTGTAGTTTGGGGGTGCTCGTGGACCAGTGTTCCCTCTCAGCTGAGTTAGTGTGAGCTAGCTCACAGTTTTTTAGCCTCCAGATCACAGATTTTTGTCTCAGCTCAGGAAGGATGGCTCCAGAGCAAACTAATTTATGCAATAGCCAAATCACTTGCTCACAACTTTAATGCCAGTAGCTCACAAAGTAGAATTTTTGCTCACAAGACTCCACAGCTTAGAGGGAGCATTGTCTTGGACCCAGGCTTATTGTTGTGTAAGTAGGTGGCAGCTGTGGTCAGGAGTACCTTTTTCCAACTTTGACTGGTTAGCCAGCTGTGGCTTTTCCTGGGCAGAAAAGATTTGGCTGCTGTGGTGCTTGCCCTGGTTACACTGAGATTAGATTACAGCAGTGCTCTCTGTGTGGGGCTGCCCTTGAAGAGTTTGGAAACTTCAAGTGGTACAAAATGCTGCAACCAGGATGTCAACTGGAGTGGGTTGTAGGGACCATATCCCTCCCATCTTGGCCCATTTGCACAGACTCCCAGTTTATTTCTGGGTACAATCTAAGGTCTTGATCTTCAAAGCACTGTGTACTCTGGGACCAGCGTATCTGAAGAACTGCCTACTCCTTCAATGAACCTGCCCAACAACTGTGGTCATCTTCAGAGGCCTGTGTCTTCTGAGATTAGGTGGGTAATAGGCTGGGAGAGGGCCTTCTGGGTCATGGCTCTGGAACTCTCCCTCCAGGGAGATTTGTCTGTCCCCTTCTGATGCCATCTTATGCCAGTGGGTGAAGACTTCTTTGTTTTGTTCAGCATTCCCTTAGTGATTCCTCCTTATTGACCTCCTTGTTTTGTATGGATTTCTAATGGTGTGTGCTTAGGGGGGGGGGGTGATTTTAATGGCTTTAAAATGTGGATTTTATTATGTTATCTGTCTTGGTGGCCCAAGAAAGGCAGCAAATGAAGTTTTGTAAATCAAATAGATGTAGCTTGTGGACGATGGTTCATGCAATGGATACCTCTTCCACATCACACAGCTGAGCCAAGGGCCTGTTGCTTGAGACTGCCTGCTTCAACCGAAGCTGCTTTATCATTGAGGCGCTCTTCAGTGGCCTGGCTTCCTGTGCAACCGTTGCCTAATATAGGCAGTGGGTGGCCATGAGAGGCAGAGCCGCCTCTGTAGTGATGCCTTGGTTGTGATGCCCTTCCTACCACGCCTTCTAAGTTCTGCTTACCTCTTCTAATTTTGCTGCAGTGTGGCTTTTAGCTTGCTGTTTTAACTGCTGCTAGTGTGTTTGTGTATATGGCATTTGACTGTTTAATACTCTTTTATCTTCCTCTTCCTCCAAGGAGCTCAGTTTCTCCCCTCCTCTATATCAAAACAAGCCTGTGAGACAGGTTTGGCTTGTGGTCACTCTGTAAGTTTCATGGCAAGCAGGGGTTTGAGCCTGGGTCCCCTAGGTCCAGACATTTCAGTTGTGTTAAATTATTTTGAAAGATGTTTCAGTCAGTGGCCTTATGGCTTGGCTTATTGAAACATGCAGGGCTTTTTTTGTAGAAAAAGCCCAGCAGGAACTCATTAGCATAATAGGCCACACCCAACAGCAGAAACTCATTAGCATATTAGGCCACACCCCTGACAGCACAACTCATTGGCATATTAGGCCACACCCCCATGTTACCAGAAGTGTGCTCATCCAGCCACACCCACCTTTTGCTTCTTATTCTGTTTACCTTGTTTGTTGTCAAAACCCAAGGCTTTTTTGTAGCAAGAACTCCTTTGCATGTTAGGCCACACACCCCTAATGTAGCCTAATGAGTTTCTGCTGTTGGGTGTGGCCTATTACGCTAATGAGTTCCTGCTGGGTGCGGCCAACTTGGAAGCCAGCCGGAACTCCGTTCCTGTGCGTTCCTGCCCAAAAATAGCCCTGGAAACATGTATGTCTAAGCCTCTCTCTCTTTGCCTCTTACACCCCTTAGGTATCTCCCTCATCATGTGGAATGCCTTGTACACATCTGAGAAGGTCATCATACGTTGGACCCTACTGACAGAAGCATGCTATTTTGGAATACAGTTCTTGGGTAAGTAGGCCTCTTTGGGGAGACACAGCAAAAGGAAACACCTGCTTCTACTCCAGCAACTTCATTTTGGATCTTGAGTTTCTGACAATGCAGTGTATTGACTATATTTGGACCACAGATTTGATCCTACAAACAATGAGCATAAGCTTGAAAACAGCTTTGATCCTGCTTCATATGGTGGGAAATTGGGTAAAATGTTTCCCTCTTGTGTCAGTTGAAAATGTTTTCCTATCCCAGTAGAAGAGAGAAGGAAATGTAGTTTTGCCCCATTTCCCTCTACGGCCCCAGTCACATGACAAAGTTGCCGCGGGAGAGGCATGGAAGGTGGGCGGATTATCCAGGCACGATCACACCCCAACATCTGGGAAGTGGAGAGCACCCATGGCTTACCGCCGACAATGCACGTTAAAAAACTAGTACCTCCAAGGTACTAGTAAACGTTTGCCATGGGCTGCCTCCAGACACCCATGGTGTGATCGCGTCGGCGTGCGGCATTCCCCTCCGGTCCCTCGTTTACCCGCTGGCGCCGAGGGAAGGACCCGTGGTGTGCCACCGGCGCGTCTGATCGTGTAATTGTGAATCAAACTGTGCCGGGACAATTAGCCACGCCTCCCCCCCCCCCCCGCGATATCCGGCCCGTATGACCGGGGCCTACATACAGCATCCATCATGTGTTGTGTGGCATTTTGTCCAGAAGGTTCCCTTGGCCTCCCAGCATTGCCCTTTTTAGGGGTGGGGGTGGGGAGATAACGATGCAAGCTACTTGAGCAGGGTTCTCACCCCAAGATTGGAGCTGTTGGATGCAATGTGCAGAGAAGAGGGACTACCAAGAATTGTAATAAAAGAGGAAACCCCACTCTGGTGTTTTCCTAGTGAACATCACTCTGCTGTGTTTTAAGCATGCACCTGTAAGCACAGTTTTTGAGAAATACTGCTTCTGAACTATGGTGTGTGTGGCCTCTGAAGCTGCCTACCTCTGAGCACTTTTCAGCATTTAAGTCTCACCTTGGTCAATTGTCATGCTTTTCCATAAGGAATTATGGTGTGTATATGATGTACACCTATGATGAGACTTGGGTGACTAGAAAGGCTTGCCAACATTCCTGGGAAGGAAATTTTTGGATTTGGGGGGGGGGAGGGGAGACTACAGAGTGTACTTCCTGCCGAGGTGTCTTTCCCAGAATTTCTTTGTAGAACAATGTTATCATGGCAGGAACAAGCGAGAACCATATTCTTCTTCTCAGTGGGGTAGCTGCAGATGAAGCAAACATGGGCTGCATTTGAAAAACATTTGCTTTGGTTCTGTTTTCTAGGCTTAATTTGTGGCAACAAGTATATCAGTGAGCTGACACTGCCTTTCTTTTGGTTTAGTCTCAAAAAGCACCATGATTTTTCAATGTGCTTTTGGCTACCCCCTTGACATTTTATCTGTTTGCTCGAGACACTAGAAGATGACCTTCCTTTGGTCATATTAGTTTAGTAGTCCACACAGGCATGGCTTAGAAGTTCCCAAACAAGTGCATTCTCAGATTTTGTCCTGTATAGCTTGAAAAAGCTGATCCAACAGGTCTAAAGCACTGGCGGAGCTACTTTAACTTATTCTGTATGCACACGCTCTACCACCACTCTTGGCTCTACCTACAGCCACATGGATGGTGTAATGACTTCCAGGTGATACGGAAAACGATGCTGGCCATGTGCCATTGGTTTAACTATTTGAAAGGGTCTCCCTTCTTATTTCTTTTTTAAATTTAGATATTCCTCTTTTCTGACCAGTGGGTCCTAGGCATCTTACAACATTGTTTTCTTCTCCTCCATTTTTCCTCACAGCAACAACCCTGTGAGGTAAGTTAGGCTGACAGAGTGTGCAAGGCCCAAAGTTACCCAGCAAGCTTCCATGGCAGAGTAAGGATTTGAACCAGAGTCTCCTAGATCCTAATCTAACACTTTAACTGCTACACCACACTGGTTATCATACCTCAGCCTCACTGTCAAAGTTCAGCTCAGCTGTCACCTAGAACTTTTTTAAAAAATGGAAACAAACACTTTAGTGACTGCCAAGCATGCCAAGCATAATATTTTAGCTGCTTGGAATAAACCTTTTGGTTGCACTAGATCAGCAGTTCCAGCCTCTGAACCTTTTCAGTATGGTGAGCCACAAGTCCAAATTTACTTGGTGTGGTGACCCATCCAAGGATGACCTAAGGGGTTTTTTTTTGTGCCCTTGGCAAACTATGGCCTTGGCATCCATCAAGTTCAGCATTCTATTTTCTACAGTGGCCAACCAGATGTTTTTGAGAAACCAATAATCAGAAAGGGCAGAGCTGTCTCCACTATGAATTCCAAGAAAGTGGCATTCCAACATACACAGCCTTTGCATTTGGAGGTTACTTTCCAGCTTTTGACCACCTTCGCCTTCTCCATTACTTCCTCTGTTCCCTCATAAGGTTCTAAGAAACTCACTCGAGTAACCACCAGGACATGTTTTACTTGGATCAGCATGTGTATGCTGTGAAGAAAAAATGCTGACTGATGTATTAAATGGCAGATGTTGTTTCCAGGATCAGATCTTGGTTTTCAAACTACAAAAGAGAGTAGTGGAAAGGGCAGGGGTGGCCGTTAGGGAGGGCTGACCTGTGGCCCACTTCCAGAGGCTTCGCAAAACCACCTTTGGTTCTGGATGCACAGGTTGGGAAACACTGCACTAAATATTTGCAGGTCTGATCTAAAGAGGCAAAGAGAAGGTGAAAGACTTCAAATGTTATTCTGAGACTTCTGTGGGTTTTGGCTGTGACTGAGAGTCCAGATTTCACAGATACCTCTCTGGGTAGCCAGTGGCTTGCATGTGAGGGTACCTGTGTCAATTTGCCTGATCATAACCACTCCAGGGGCGCCTTCCTCTTAATGAGAAGTTTCTCTATGATGTGATACAAACTGTGTGAATGCTGCATCATTGGAGTAGAGAACCATATGGATGGATTACCGGCCAGATAATGCACAAAAGAAAGTCTTGCTCTGTTTCCAATGAGAGTCCTGAGGCAGAGAACCCTCTTTGATTCTAGCTTCCTTGCTTGTCTTCCAGTGACCACCATCACCCTGGTCGAGACTGGCCAGGCATCCCTGGGAGCTGCACTCCTACTCTTCAGCAGAGTCCTCTTTGTCTGCATCAGCATTTATTATTATTACCAAGTTGGACGCCGACCCAAGAAACTGTGATTTCTAAGGCTTCCCAAGGGTGGGGGCCAGGGTGGGGGGCTTGTGTCATAAACTTTGCATTCCTTTTGTTCACTTTGTGGGTTTTTTTCCAGAGCAGACATTCTTCTTAATTATGGCATGCATCATTGTATAAATCCAGTGTTGGTACCCATGCCAGATGAAGGGAGATATCAGAGCTTGACTGGCTCCATGAAGCCTGTTTGGAGAGGATGAGAAAAAAGAGAGCAAAGCCAAGAAGGGGGCTAGACAGATTCAGAGTGGGGGGCAGGGAGGAGAATTTGTTTTACAGAAAAAGGATGGCAAATAAAGAAGACTGTAGCATATGGTCAACAATGCCTATATAACACATTGAAGCTGAATTCAAAAGTCGAAACAGTGGAGTAAGCCCTATGCAGGGGTAGGCCTTTAAGGAGCATCTCCTGCCATGGGATCATCTGGTCTTGGAGCTTGGGACACCCAGTCTACATACTGGAACCTGAGCTGTGAATGGGCAGTGTTTACTCAATATAAGGCACAGCATTAAGCCTTACCATTGCACTGCTAGGTAGGAGGTCTTGAAACCTTTAGGAAATGCTGTAGGAACTGGTATTGTTGTCCCCCTCCCAGTTGCCCTTCTAATAAGCATTAACTACAGTAATCTATATATTGATGCTGACTGAGTTTTCTACCAGACCACCTTTTTAAAAAAAATGTGGTTCTGTGTTTTGAGGTCCCCCCCCCCCCTTCTTATTAGACTTGTTCGCTGCTCATGCCTTCTGGTGGTCTTTGAGCACTAGAAATACTTTCAGACAATTCTGGATAGAGCTTTTTGAAAAGGGAACTTTTATTGTTCAACCCCCACAAAGTTGCACGAGCCATTTGTTGTTTAAGGGAATGTAACTTCAGCATAATATGCCATATTATGCATTTTTACAAATGGGCTACCAGGCTGTAACCGTCTGAAATTTAAATATCATACTTTATATATGGATACAGATAATTAAGGCATAGGAAAACACCCCCATAATACAGATGCATTGGCTACTTTCATAGAATGGAGATTTGTGATTTTTATACACACCCACCCACAAATACACACTGGGGTAAACTGGCAAATACTTTGGTGGTCCTTCAAGTCCTTTTTGATATGAACACACATGAAGCTGCCTTGTATTGAATCAGGCCATATTTCTAGGATCAGTACTGTCTACTCAGACTGGCAATGGCTCTTCAGGGTTTGAGGCAGAGGTCTTTCACATTTCCTACTGCCTGTTCCTTTTAACTGTAGATGCTGAAGATTGAACCTGGGACCTTCTGCCTGCAAACCAGAGGCTCTTCCAGTGATTCACAGCCCCTCCCTTTGGAGGGATATGGAAGGATCATGGGCACTGATATATACACCCCCAATTCCTGTGCCACTCTCTATAAGGCAGCCAGAGCCTAAGCAGGCCTGCACTCCACTGAACCTTTTGAATTGCCAGTTTTATCAATATGTGAATCAACCCCATTGCCCTAAATCTGTGCCCAGAAAGGTATTTCAATTTAATTTGTATATTGAAAAGGTTCCCTTAAAACCCCAGGAAGCCTTGCATTCAACATCTTCAGGTGAGGGGAGCCTCAAGCCATATGTTGTTCCCTACCCCATTATGCATGATCAGTCCTACCACCTTTGTCACCCCATTATATTAATGAGGACATACAATCCATGAGTAACTCAGGATGTAGTCCAGTACAGAATGTCTCACATCTGGATGATGCAATTCACAAAAGGTAGGTAAAATCTTTAGTGAGCATTGAGACACTTCCCCATGCCACAGTTGTTGCACAGATTTAAAGATAGATGCTGCATCCGTTGGCTTAATCTCCTTTCCAGTGCGAGTTGCAGCAGAAACTTATTATTTTCTAAATAATACATATGTAGGAGTTCAAGTTATTGGCATTTATATTTAATCAAAATTGATCAGACTGACCACTAAGTAAGTGTTTTGTCAATCTCCATTTCCTTAAAGTTGGTGGTATTGATGTGTGTGTTTTTCTCAAAAGGCTAGAGTAAATAAAAGTAGAAT